GCTGACGCCTCGCGCGGCTAGAAGCCACGCTGCAAGCGGCGCCGCGTCGGGTTAGGGAGAGGGGTGTGTGTGGTGAGCCACACCCCCCACCGTGGAGACCAAGGGCATGTTCACGTGACGCCGCGCCCTTGACGCGGCCTTGACGGCTGGCAGTTGTTTGCATGCAGCAGTTGCTTTCGGTGGCCCCAGAAAGCTGTCCTGCTCTCCACAGCTTGCAGGTTGAGGTGTTTGAACAGGGTCTTGTGTTTTTCTTTTGGTATCCCTAGGTCAGCCGCGGTCGTGATCATGCCTGCGTAACTTGCGCCTCCCACAACCAGTGTAATCACATGGAGGTGGACCTGCCGGCGCGCCTTCTGCAGTTTCGTAATGAGTGCGGCGTGCTGTGCCGTGGCCGCTGCAATTGTCGGGTCTGGGTTTGTGTCCCTGCAGGACTTGATTTCCACAATATGGATGTGTTCCGCCGACCCTTTGCCTGCTGCCGGCACGTGCAGGATGATGTTGGGAACGCTGTGTGTGCGTGCATCTTCCAGGCGCCGTTTCTGTGCGGGTGTCAGGATGGAGCACTTGTCAAAGGTGCGCCGGTGCATCACCCCATCCTCCTTGCAGTTTTCTGCTGACCCCAGGTCTGCACACTTGATGCAGCCGCCCATCGCGTCAGCCTCTAGCGCGGCCAGGATTATCCTCCCCGCACGGTGGTGGCGAGAGGTGTGCTGCGCGCTCAGCTCTGGGCATGCCAGCATGGTGTGCCCCAGCCCCCCCCTATAAGTCAATGTCAACAAATGGTCTCCCCTCCTCGGTAGCTGGTGACATTCATATGTATCTTTCAGTGTTGCGCATGCTTCTTTACAGTTTATGGAATGGTGAGGGTCACGCACAGATATCAATCACATCGGCCAACACAGCAACAAGCACCGCAGGGCGCGAGTCAGGGGCCTAGCAAGGTTTTTCACCCAAGGCGATTGAGCAGGGCGCCGCTGCCAATTGACTTGCGGGCGGCAATCGCACGCTTCAGCAGCTCGTTGAGCAGCGCGCCGTTGATGAGGCTGGCCTGACGGCTTGCAGCCTGCACGGTTGTCTCTGTCGAGGGGGGCGTGATGGTGGTGGTTGTCTCGCCGCCCTCCACCGCCAAGTTGGAGGTAGGCAGCGCGACGTTGCCGGTGCCTGAGACCTCCAAAGAAGGGTTGTACACTCCATTGCCGTTGAGCTGAGAGACAAGGGTGGATGTTGTTGGTGAAGAGGGAGGGCCGTTGGGCGAAAGTTGAGCAATCTATGTAATTGTGTTGCGCTGCGCCACAATCGTGAGTGAGACAAAGCCGATCATATCCATCACACATTTGTAGTATGCACATGTTCATATCGCACTGTGCAGTGCGATGTGATGGGAGCTATTGCAAAATGTTGCTGGCACCCAGCTGCTTTGATACATTGAGCCAGCCATTATGCTGGGCACCACACCTTGCAGTGTGAAACCTCAAATTCAGGATTTCTGAAAACAGGGCCCGTTTCCAAAGTGCCAACATGCACCCCCCAGTTTGCTCACCGTCCCCTCCAGGGTCGTAGTCAGGGGTGTGACTGACAAACTGGCCGTGGGGGCAAGCAGCAGTCCAGTCAGGTCCAGCTCCGGCTGCGACGCAGGCAAGGGTAGATGTCACAACCGTATTGTTTTATTGCAGTGTGGATGCCGGCGTAAGACACAACTGACATAATTGGCGGTGTTTCGAGGCTCTCGAGCGCTGTCGCCGCGCGCAGCACGCGCAACAGTCCCTCCCCTGCAAAGGATCTGTATAGCTCCTGGACACTATCGTGAACTGCTCTCCCTGTGCACCTCCAGACTCAGCTTGGGCTTGAGTGTGAAGGTGAAGGTTGAGTTGGGTCCAGGTGGTACTGCGGTTTGCGCACGCCAGCGAAGGTGAGGCACAGCTCGGCTGCTGCCAGTTCTGATCAAACGACTAGGCGCGTGAGCCTTGCGCACGCTCACCATCGCTTTTGAGCGTGCGGGCGTACGTCCCAGAGCAGCATGCCAGCAGCAGCAGGGACGCTGCAAGTGCGACGTGGCGAGTCATTGCAGGATTTTGTGGTGCTCGACTGTATGACAGGGCCCGCAAATGCAATGAAACACGGGAAAACCTCGCCTATATTCACACCGGACACGCTTGGGCCGTCCCAGGCTGACTCGGCCCCGCCAAGACGAGAATGGGACTACGGCGTCGTTAAAAACGTACTTTCAGGATTACATATTACATAATTCAGGTGTTTTGTAGCATGGACTCCGTAACACTGGCGAAAACCGGCAACACGGGCAGAAACCGTTGCCAACCGCCAGACATGGCGTTTGTAATTTGTTCGATTTCTTGGTTTTGATCACCACTATCACGATGCCCACAGACAGGAAGGCATGATTATTCATCTTGCATCTTGGTTGTGGCTGGTGTGCTGATGTCATATTCTGTGTTAACCGACCAAGCGATAGCGGTGCACATTTGGCTCGAACCACTGCCCATGGTGGGATATGTGCTGTTGTGCACATCGATGGCAGAGTGCCTGTAGACCAACCACGCACACACACACATGCATGCATGTCTAGACAGCGAGTTCCCTGTTTCACCGCTCATAACCCCGGACCTCCAGTAATGTCAAGCTACTTGGCACCGGTGCATGAGGACCACCTTGTTGCTGAGGCGCAGCAGCGCAGGGCTGGGGAACACAGCACGACATCAGCGCAGCTGCCAGGCGGCGGCATGCATCACAGCCGCGTCTACGGGGGTCAAACTCAAATCATAACCTGTTGTAATGCTCCGCAATCCCGCGTGTCGCACTGACTAATTAACTAAGCACCTTGTGTCATGCGTAATGGCGCGACATCATCTCGCTGCTGTGTCGGCCCTGCCCCCGCTTCATGATCACCACGCACTGACCTTAAAATTTGGCTGCGCATTTTTGCCTGCCAAATTCCACAGCACATGAAATGGCACACATGCACACATTGAAGGCAACTAGTTGCTGTGTGTGTGGCGACAGGTCGAACACATTAGTATCCTGCTCCCATTTCCCTGCCGGGCAGAGTGTGCAGCCCCCTGTGCACAGACTCATTCAAGTGTGTTTCTCAGCTATATATATAGTTGTTTTGGCACATGATTGTTACAGCTCGGTGCATTCATGTTCACAAGGGTTGTAAGGCCACGAGATGCGGGTTGCACGAGGGGAGTGTCACTTGGCTCTGCCACTGAATACTCAGCCCTGCAGCTTGGAGAGCACAGGGCGGCTGGTGAAGGCCTGCATGATGGCGTTGAGCAGCGGGCGGTTGGCTGGGTCGAAGAAGCCGCCAAGGTTTTGCAGTGAAAGGCTGCTTGCAGGGAGGGCGTAAGAGCCCGTGCCAGAAGTCTCCAGCGAAGGGGCAATCGTGCCCTGACCCGAAAGCTGCAAAGAGGGTTACGAGCGGTGCAATAGAAGGGACGGGGGTTAAATGCAGAGTGAGGTCCGGGATGAAACACCAGAGCGGCCAGATTGCCCCTTCAGCTCTGCGCCGCCTGCCTCTGCAGGTCGCACAGAGCAGGCAGGCAGCTTGCTGCGTTGTAGCTAGTACATGTGCCCATTTCTGCTCCATTTGTTTGGAACCACCGCAGACGCACGCTGCCCTTGTTTTGGCGTAGCTGCAGGGCTGGCTGGCCCCGTTCGCTCACCGTCTCTGCCAACGACAAGGCCAGGGGTGTGAGAGAAAGGCTCTCTGTAGGGGTGAGCGAGAGCGGTGTGAGGTCCAGCCCAGGCTGCGGGTGTACATTTCATGGAGGTGTTTGAGAGCGGAGGTGGTGGTTTTAGCGCCGAACATCAGGTTCTTACGCAAACATGTGCTACGTCAAGTGCTGTCAAAGGCCGGGCCTGCGAAGGGCCGGCCGTTCACCTGGCTGCGCATGCAAACATATCGCGGTTGTGAGACCTTGGCTGCGGAGTCCTGCACAAGCCACCGGCCGCGCTGCCGCACCTCAATCTTGAGCTTGGGGTTGACAGTCAGCGTGAACTTCACAGAGTCAGTTTGGACTTCAGGGGCCTCTTTGCTCTTGTCCTTTCCATTGTCCTTGCTTTTGCCTTGGCCGCCTGTGGCGCATCCAGCGGACGATAGGTGCAAGCCGCCCGGCAATGCGCACGGTCAGGGCCACAGACGTTTGAAGGACCCACCAGCCCAGATGGGGAGGCACAGCGATACCCCAGCAAGTCCGTCATGTATATTGGCTGTGACAGGATGGGGTGACCTCACCATTGTCATTCTTGAGAGCAGCGGTGGCCGCACCACCATCAACTGCGAGGGCGTCGGCGGTCGCCCCCCCATCCACATTGAGGGCAGCGACTGCCGCACTGTCATCAGCCTTGAGAGCGCGCGCATCTGCCCCAGCGCAGCACAGGAGCACCAGCATTGCAGACGCCGCCAGCGCGGTGACAACAAGGGCGTGGCGGGTCATTGTGCAAGGGCGGAGCGGGGTTCAGGTGTGGCAAGGAGAACCTGGGATGCGACGCAAAACTTTTGATTCTTCAATTTGAAGTCCCGTTTGTGCGTCTCTATCTCTCTCGGGCTGTCCCAGATGTAGCGATCGGGGCCTCCAAGGTGGCCGCCTTGGGACGGAGGACAGCCGAAAGAGCGTGGTTGCTATACAAGTATACACAACACACTTGACCAAGCTCATTGCCGGATATCCCGGCCTGAGGTGTGCCTGGCAAAACTGGGGCACTGAGCCAACCACTCCCTGGAAGTTTTGCCGCACACAGCTTGTTCGTGTGGCCGTGCACAGGCCTAAACCCATACTGTGCGTGATGGTCATTCACTGATTTGGTGCAACATATGATTTTATCTCCCAAAGTTTGTGGTTGTGGCGGTGGAGTCGCCTGCACTCCTCACGCGTCTGTTTCGTACAATGGCTTCTCATAAATATGGCCATCTGTACGCGATCGGTGCCCGCTGCGCGTCACCACCAGATGGGTTTGACAGCTGACTGCGCGCGTGCTGCCAGCTTAGTCTTGCGTGGCGCCTGCTGGCTCATGCTGCATATTGTTTTTTCTCAGTAATGCCTTCTGTCAGAGTCAAAATGGTCCCTCTGAGGTGTATGTTGGAGGCAAAATACGGTACAGACCAAGTATGTAACCCCGCCGTCTGCCGGGTGCAGGCCGGCAGTCCATGGCGGAACGAAGCCCTGTCATGCGCCGAGGTGGTACAGCCAGTACCCCTCGACAAATCTGCTCGATATCGATCAAGTCTGCTAAATGCCCAGCTTCAGCGGGTAAAGGGATGAGAAGCTGTCCACTGCTTTTTTTCTGCAAGATTTGTGTGCCTGTCATGCGCGAACGCATGCACAGTAACGGCAGGAAATTTCCGCAACCCAGCACAAGGGATATGTTTACCGCCACCCAATGCTGCTGCCACACAGTTTGCCGCTCATTGCCATCGATGTCGCCCACAGCATGCACTGTCACGTGTCAATCGACATCTGAGAAATGTCTAGCGGCTTCTGTGCCACTCGCTTGCTGCGACAGCCAGAGGTATTTGCATTGCGTGCCGACTCAGACATGAAGAACACCAACATCACCAGCGTTATGCAAGGAATGGACCGCCGCCCCACCCTTTCTTGCTGTGACCTTGCAATTCACTCGGTGTGTCAGTATAAGATTGCTGGTCTAGCTGCCCCAATTGCTTAGACCGAAGTTGTGGCATAACCTGTTTGCCTCAAGGCAGCTTGACGGGCAAAACACGCGTGAAAGAGCCGACATTTAAGCTGACCAGAAACTGGTGGTAGTGATTGCCAAAACATCAGCAACCAGTGTTGTGGGTGTGCTGGCAAGCTGCTCGCAATTTGAGTCGTCAAGATTGAGTGAAAACTCCAGCATAGGACAATCACAGGGGTTCTCGCCCATGAGCAGGCGTGTGCATGATGACAACGGCAAGTGTTTGTCTGCAGGCACAAAAGCATTGGTGCATCGTGTGAAACCTATCATGGTGCTTGATTTGTCGCGCAAGTGCAGCACAACAGTCTGGCAAAGTTCAATTGTCGTGATGGTGCCAGCACATAATACATGGCTGGCTGCGTGCCTGCTGCAGCTTTCAAAGACGTTGACCAGACATTCGATGCACACAGCTGCTTTGGCCCATGCTTGCACAAAGCACAATTGCGTCATCGGTCACAAGAACCCTGCTGTATGAGGACGCCTGTGCATCACACCTCTTGCGTATATTCGCCCGCCAGCACGCTCCTGGCGTATTATTTCCATGCTAGTAGATACCTTTGAACCTTCAACTTGAAGCCTCGTATGCTGGGGCTGTTACATGTTTGCTGACCTTTTGCGACGCGGCAACATACAGCCAGCCAAATGGGGATCACGCATGGGTATGCAGCAATCAGGGATCACAAGCAGACAGCAGGAGCATTCACAAGGCGGCTGTGAATGCGTCATGGCAGGGATCCTCTCAGCCCATCTTGCTGAGGGCGTTTTTGAAGCCCTGCGCAGCGCCGCTGGCGGCGGTAACGTCAACAGATTTGGAGGGGCCCGTGACGGTGAGGGACTGGTCCGGACCTGAGGCAGACAGAGTCCCACTGAGGGTCTTGGAGGGGTCGAACGCGCCCTGGACACCAAGCTGGGGGGGGGGGGAGAGGGAGCAGGGTGGGGAGGGAGTTGGAGAGCACATGAATAACGCCTGGGCAAACGCCAACTCGGCCATCATGGTCGAGGAGCAGGTGTGGGTGAGCGCTAAATTCTCAATGACAAGTATTGCAGAGCATGAGTCTCACGCTGTTTCTGCGGCCTCCAGGCCAGAGTAACAATAGCCCGAGGCAGCAGCTGAAGCACATTATATGTCGTTGCTTACCTCGCCAGACAGGGTGAGGTCCAGCGGGGTGGCGGACAGGTCCAGCTTGGGTGTGAGATCCAGGGGGGTTAGGCCCAGGCTTGGGCCAATCGTCAGCTCAGGCTGTCACGGGGCGGGGGAGGGCAAAGATGTGAGGATTCCGCGAGCTGTGACCAAGGTGATGCGTGCAGCACAGGTCAAAGCTGCAAGCTCAACAGCTGCCAATGCCTCAGTTTGCACCATCACTGCCATGTTTGCTGGCACACCAGAGGCCAACCTCTCAGCTGCACTTGGCCAAAACCCTTTGTAGTGCGCACCTCAAGGGAAAGCTCCAGCTCAGGGTTGGGAGTGTTGATAGTGACCTTGCCACTGCCATTGCTCTTGCCATTGTTGTTGCTGTTGTTGCTGTTGTTGCTGTTGTTGTTTTCGTAGTCGGTGGTGGTAGTGTCGGCAGCGCTGCGAGAGAGCCAGTCTGCGGCGCATCGCACAGTAGGTCAGCAGTATTGAGAGGGGTATGAGTGGTTGGCAGTGGCAAGATGTTTGTGGCAAGCCACACCACAGAGCGTGATACCAGCTTTGGCCGCCGCGCTGCATGCTGAGACTCACCCAAGGGGTTGCTCAGGGGACCAGGCTGCAGGAAATCTGGCCGCGCCAGAAGGATGCCGTGGAGGATATCGCCAAGAACCATGCCAACAAACTCCCCAGGGTTGCGGGGGTTGGGGGGCTTGTTAGATTTGTCGTCGTTCTTCAGGGTGCGCGAGGCATTGGCGGCGCCTGCGCAGGCGACCAGCGCCAGCAGGAAGAGCACAGAGCGCGAGCGGCGGGCCATGGCTGGCTACTGGCGCTGCAGGCTGTGCAGCTAAGAATAACGTCGCGGTTGTGATGGCAACGGAAATTGTTTGACATTTTGAAGCCAAACGCTTCTTCTCGGGCTGTCCCAGAGGCCACGGTCGGGTGCTCCAAGGCGGGGCCATCTCGGGAGGGAGGACGAAGCGCCTAAAAGGCGTGCAGCCAAGTTTAACGGAGAACTGTAGCCTGACGTCCACGTTTTGCAAAGGCGGATTGGGTGGTGGTGGGTCTGGGCACCGCTACACCTGCCTGCCGGCGGTTTAAAGTATCGATTGACCACCCTACGCGAATGCTGTAAATTTACTGTCGCTGATTTGCACCCTGCCTTGCCGTAAAGTACACAAGTTCTTGCAGTCATACATGCACTTACATGCAGTCATGTGGTTGCCGGTGTGAACGTGTGCGTGTGTGAATGTGTGCGTGCGTCCGTGTGTTCTCGTGTGTGTGTGTGTGTGTGTGTGTGTGTGTGTGTGTGTGTGTGCGTGCGTGCGTGCGTGCGTGCGTGCGTGCGTGCGTGTGTGTGTGTGTGTGTGCGCGCGCGCGCGCGGGGGCGCGCGCGCCCACGCCCGCACGTGGGCGCGCGCGCGCGAGCGTGTGCGTGCGGCACATGTGTGCAAATAGTGGCAGTCGACAGCTGCACATAAGCACCAAACTTGAATGCTGGATAGATCATGTGATAACACTTACTTGAATTATTATGAGTTTGTTTGAAGATGTGCTGAAGTGCATGCTGTGCAGCCACCCTTTGCATTTTGCGCACGTCACAGCAAATCGCCAACATGTGGGTGTCTCGCCAACATGTCGCGCAGCAGCTGCTGCCTTGACAGGAAATCTGCCATGCAGTGCGTGCGGGTGACTGCACCGCTGAAAATAAATTGCAGCAATCGGGCGATGCGTATGCACACTTGTACACCCAGACACACAAGCACACACGTACATGCACTTGTGCGCACCCAACGGCGCAACAACCCACGCACCCAACAACCTCACCCCCAGCTCAAATGCACACACGCACACGCCTCGCGCACGCGCGCGCACACACACGCACACACGCACACGCACACGCACACACACACACACACACACACGCACGCACGCGCGCGCACACACACACACGTGCGCACACACACACACACACACACACACACACACACACACACACACACACACACACACACACACACACACACACACACACACACGCGCGCGTGCACGCGCGCGCTTGCACACAAGCACACGCACGTATGCACGCAGCATGCTCCAGCGCACGCACGCGGCACTGCACATATGCATGCACACTGCACACATGCGTGCACGTGAACACACACACGCACATACGGTATGCACTGTGACGCGTGCTCATGCATGCGCACTCATGCACTCTTCTGCCAGGGTAGATCCACAGCTGCCTGCTCCTGTTGCTGCAATGAGCCGGCTCCCTTCTGCACCACACGGCATGAGCGCAGCCCAACAGCGCCTTGAACAGTGCGGCGCTGGAGCTGCCCGGCGCTTTCTTTTGGTGTCCCATTTTGTAGGCCCTGGGGGGTGGGGCATACCGTACTCAGGTCTGCACACATGTTTGCCTTGTACTATACGGTACCCCACGTGCATTCTCTATGATGACGTCTGCCCGTACGGTAATTTTCCCCTCACGTTGTGAGCGCTGGTCAATGTCCTGGCTGGCGCCTGCAGCGTCTTCTGAGGTCTATAGACGGCAGCTTTGCCTTTGTACGTACGCTCACAGACCATACAAGCAACCAACAGACGGATCAACACGCTGTGCGGTGCATAGGGCATGCTGGGCAGGCTGGTCGCCAGCCTCTGGACGCCGTCCGCGCAGCGAGAGCCCCTGGAGCGCGAGCAGATGACCGTGGAGGCGGGTGCACAGCCCGCCCAGCCCAGCACAGCCACCCCCAACATGGGCGACGAGCAGCAGCAGGAGCTCATCACGAGTTGCAAGCGCAGAGGTCGGGGCCGCTCCTAATCGTCCTTCAATCCAACACTGTTGCTTTAGACTCACACTGGCGGGCCTTGGGCCCCGACAGGGGCCTCGCACGGCTGATCTTGCATGTCTGTCTCCTGTCCACGCAGGCCCCGAAGCCGGCGATGACATCTCTCCGGGCAAAAGGCAGCGACTACCGTCTGCTACGGACGTCAGGGGCAGCAGCACTGACTTCCAGAGGCAGCAGGACCAGCGCAAGCAGGCGGTCTCACACCTTCAGGTTGGTGTCCCCTACTTGCTCGTGTCGTGCAGCGCTTACCTTTGCGCAAATTCCCCTGTATTTCCCGGCAGAGGATTTTCACTGCCGCAATTGTGGCCTGGTTGTGTGCTGGCCCATGTAGGACGAAAGCTGCGCGGCGACCCTGGGCGCTGTGCCAATGCCCCACAACACCCCCTGTCCTGTGTGCTGCCGCAGGGGACTCCAGAGGCTTGCAGCTCAGGTGAGCAGCAAGAGCAACAGCAGAAGACTGGCGAGAGTGCCAAGGCCAGGGGCCCCCTGGGTCACATCCTTACGCCAGTGTACTACCTGTGGCAGCAAGGCAGCCACATCGCCCAGCACTTTGGTACGCCAGGCAGCGGGACAACGCAGCCGCCGCAGCAGCAGCAGCCGCAGCAGCAGCAGCCGCAGCAGCAGCCGCAGCAGCAGCAGCAGCAGCAGCAGCAGCAGCAGCGGCAGCAGCAGCGGCGGCTGCACGGAGACGATGGCGAGGATGAACAGCAGCATGAGGGCCCCCACTCGCAGGCCTGGCAAGTGCAGCGGCTAGACGAGCCCCTCGATGGTGCTGCTTGTGTCGCGCAGCAGCCGCAGCAGCAGCAGCATGCAGCAGGCGAGTGCGCCACCAGCACGACCAGCACCGTTACGACCGGCAGCGTGCTGGCCCCTGAGGCCTCAGATTCGGTCGCTGGCGATGCCGCCGCAGGCGCGCCCAGCGTGCGCGGGTTTGAGAGCGGCTGTGACAGCGACATCGATCCTGCGGGGGAGCTCGCCTGCGCGGGCGTGGCAATGCCGCCCGCGGCCGCTGCTGAGGTGGATGATGAGGATGACGAGGAGTGGTTTGATCCCCTGCTCTTTATAAGCCGCCTGCCACCGGCTGCGCCGCCAGGCGCGCTGCGGCCCGGGACTCTGCTCCCACGGCGTACGCGGGCGTGCAAGCAGAAGACACTGGTGCTGGACCTGGACGAGACGCTGGTGCACAGCACACTCGACGGCGCGCCTGGCTCGGAAGGCGCGCACTTCCACTTCCCAGTCCACTTCAACGGCGCCGAGCACATGGTGCACGTGCGCATGCGGCCGCACATGCGCGACTTCCTGGAGCGGACGTCGGAGCTGTTTGAGGTGGTGGTATTCACTGCGTCTCAAAAGGTGTACGCCGAGAAGCTGCTCAACATCCTCGACCCCCACCGGCGGCTGGTGCGGCACCGCATCTACCGCGACAGCTGCGTGTTTGTCGACGGCAACTATCTGAAGGTGGGCAGTTGTGCCAATGGGCGAAATTGGTTTCGTGCCCCTGTGGTGTATGTCTACGTGCTTGTGGAGGAAGGCATTGGGGCGCGTTTATGCTCGCTGAGCCGCAGTGTGCAAACGCCCATAAGATTGCTTGCTTGCGCGTGCATCCGTCTGCATTCACATTGTGATGCCCTCCCCTCACCCCGCTTTTCTATGCCTGCCTGCCGACACTCGTGGGTCTTTCGCAGGACCTGTCGGGCTTGGGCCGCGACCTGGCCCACACTGCAATCGTCGACAACAGCCCCCAAGCCTTCGGCTTCCAGGTGGACAACGGAATCCCCATTGAGTCGTGGTACGACGACGACGCCGACACAGAGCTGCTGCAGCTGCTGCCTCTCCTGAGGAAGCTCGCAGACGCGGACGATGTTCGCCCGTTGCTGCGCGAGCGGTTCCGCCTGCGAGAGCGCGTGGAGGGCGCGGCGGCGACGTGGCGCAGCCGCATGGAGCAGGAGGCTGCTGCGTGGCAGCGACAGTGCGTTGGCTCGGTGGCCACAGCACAGCAGCAGCCCGCGCTGCCGATGCCACCTGCACAGCAAGCACAGCAGCAGTCGCAGCAGGCTGGTAGCGGTATGATGCAGCAGGCCCTGCCTCCGTCGAGGCAGTTGAAGGTTGCAGTGGTGGCCGCCGCAACCCACTTAAGTTAGCGACCGCAGCGTTGCGCTGCTCCTGCAGAGATTGTGGTGCTGCCTGAGGATTGGGGTCGTGGTGTGTGCGCTGGTCGAGCGCTCACCTGATGACGGCGTGTTTCGTAGATGTCTGGGCCAGGCTCGGCAGCGCCCTAATTGTACATACATGCTCCATGCTTCTCGCCACGCCCATGCCTCGGCCGCTGTGCCCTGGTTCCCCGGCATTGCTGACCGTGTTGATGGCTGACCCTTGACCGATGCAAAGCATATCGAGGGTGTCGGAGAGCACTGCAACAAACCTTACTGTTGCCCTATCCTTGCAGCCGCCTGAGTCGCCACCACGCATCCAAGTGCGCTGCTGCACGCTCTGCTTGCGGCCTGGATGAGGTCGCATGGTGTCGCGGGATGCGCCCACCGTTGCCCCCAAGTCCAGTGGTGGGGCTAGCTCAACCCCTTGCGTTTTCAGAGAGCCGCTGCACAACAACCAGCAGCACAATGCTTGCATCTACCCCGCCTCTTCACAGGGCGTTGCTGTTGGCGAGTCGTGTTCTTGCGCTTGACGAGCGATAGCCGCGCAGCCCATTCACAGTCCCCGACGCCTCAACGCCCTGGCTGGTGCGCGGCCTACTTTTTACCCCACCTTTTCCATGTGTTGAAGCATGAGGCCTTGACTCGTCCCTGCACACTTACACATATGCACACGGTTTCTGGCTAGAGGCGCTGGAGTTTTTTTAGCAGGGGTGGCGCGGGCGCGCTCCAGTCTCCCACAAGGAATGTTGCCTTGCGAGGCAGGGCCTTTGTTTGAGGGCCAAGCTCAGCCCTCTGAAACGCATCAAAACTCTTTGCGCAGACAGAACGTTGTAAGTTGACTCTTTGAAGCATGTGGCAGCACCCCGGCCTGATTTGCGCTGGCGGTGGAGAGGTGCAATGGCCAACAATTTGTGACTCAGAGTGAGTGTGAGAGGTGACGGCTTGATGGGGTGCTGTTGCCAGGAAACGTGGGACCTACCATGCTACCTGCCAACAGGAGTGGTGCTTTTGAACGGCGGGTGGGGGCTGAGAGTTGGCGCCGGCTGGGCGGGGCGCACGGGGGCCGATGGGGGGCGCAGCGGGTTTGTGGGGCGTTTGAGTGCAGGGCTGTGGCACTGTTGCAGTGGTGGAAGCGCCCTCTCGCAGGGACAAAGCAAACGCAGAATGCAGCAACTGAGGTTGCAGCAGGCCCAGGTTTGATCTGCACTCGCTGCACTGCAACGCTCCCCGTCTCATTGTACGCAGCTTGCCCTCAGTCATAATACATACATACAGGCACACACACAAACAAACAAACAAACTGACACACGCACGCACGCACGCACAAACAAGCACGCACGCACGCATGTATGCGCGCGCGCGCACACACGCACACGCACGCACGCGCACATACTCGCTCGCACACGCACGCACGCATGTACATACATACATACATACATACATACATACATACATACATACATACATACATACATACATACATTATACATCTACATACATACGTACATACATACATACATACATAGGTCATGGCCGCTGGCTGGCAAGGATGATGGGCTCAGCTCGGCTGCCAGGGTGGCCGCAGCTGAGGCTGGCACTCCAGTGAGAACCATGTGCGCGCCCTGTGTGCAGCGTCACACACCTCATAACCCAAGGCGTGCCTTAAATTTCAACGTTTACTTGTGCAGAGTATCAGCTTTACGCACGGGCATGTAGATCTGTTGATTCATTGGGACTGGCGATGTTTTCGCTGGAGGGCCTCGACCGCACGCTGTCGATTCTGCTATTCACGGACGTCACCAACAGCAAGTGAGACGCCCGCAACCCTTTTCGTCCAGCCCAGCCACTGTGCTGTGCTTGTGAGGGCCGCTCACTGCACAAAGAATGCATCACACATAGTGCTACTGCTTGCACACCTGTTCAGGGTCGCTGCATGCCCTCACAGGGAAATTCAAGAGAAGGTCATCAAAGCGCAGATCGAGCCGGAGTTTGCCTTTGTAAATGCTGCGGCGGTGAGTCTGCAGCTGCGTGGCCAGAAGCGGCGGCTGCTGACGCGGCTTTTTTTCGAAAGAGAACAAGAGCAGTCGCCGAATGCTGCCATGAAGGGTGGAGCCGGCGGCTACAGCCACCTCTGTGCACCATGCAGGTGCTGGGCTTGCTACCGCTGCGGCTGGCGGCGCACAAGGCTGCGACCTACGATCGTCGCGGCAGGCTGGTGTGCAAGAGCCTCCATGCAGAGCTGGTGTTCAACCTGTCCGGCAGCAAACACGTGAGCGGCTGACTGAGGAGCTACTTGCAACACTGCAGGCACCTTGGGAAACGAAATCGGTTGCGTCAAAGAATGAACATCGGCCACAAGTAGGACAGCTGGAACAATGGAGTTGGTTGCAAAGCTGGGGCGCCGCAAGCCGCGCATGTGACGTCACCATGGCTTGTGAAGCAGCCTTGCGGTTCTATTTTCAGACGGCCCACCCCATGCATGGTGGGGCTTATTCTGCATGCGAAAAGCTCATTCATGAGGTGAAATGCTGCTGCCGCTGCTGCTGCTGCTGCTTGTGACGATGGCGGCTCACCAAACCCCTGTGCTCCCTGCAATTTTGATGCTCCGAGCAGATCGGGGAGTCCCTGAAACGCTTTGGCGTGGCGGCCGACACCACCGCTCTGCTGGTGGCGCGCTTTGATGCAACACCTCAAGACGTGGGTGCTGCACATAACAGCCTGGCTGCCTGTGGCACCTTGGTTGCCCCGTGCTTTGGTGGCAGGTTTCCATGGCAACACACTGCCGGCATGGCCACGGGTGGAGTGCCCGCCTACGTCACGTCTGTCTCACCCCCCTCTTGCCCCCGCGGAACATCACACCACCCAACCTGCAGCTGGAGTATGTGAGAGGCCTGGTGGTGGGGCGGGAGGTGCCGCTGGAGCAGCTGCCTGAGCTGGGAGATGCGCGGCAGGTCACCAAGGTGGGGCAGCGGCCAGGGTCAACAGGACGGAGAGATGCCTCAGCGGGCGCTCGGGCAGCCACAACTCACAGATCGAGCGCCCAGTTGCTGCGTGGGGCGCGTCCAGGGCCATGGTGCACGCGTCCGGTGCGCTGGCATAGTCGGACTATCACTGTGCAGGGGGTGTGACAAGCGGAAGGTCTCCAGGTATGCGCGCGCCGCGGCCCTGCCTGTCCCTACCACCCACAGTTCTTCAAGGTGTCTACTGAGGAGCTGGCAGTGGGTAGCGCAGAGGCGGCTGTGGCCTGCCGCATAGCAGTGAGAGATTGCTTGTGAGAGGAGTCGGGCCCAAACCTTGCAAACTTCCCCTCTTTCTTTTTCCATTGGTGCGGCGGTTTTTGAAAAGCAGCAATCAACTGTGCAACGACCGTGTCTTTGTGATTTTGGTGCTTTAGCTGGTGATCACGCAGCCTCTGAGCTGTCGAGGCGGCCACCCCACTGCTGTGTCTGTGCCGCCAGGGCCTGAAAGTATTGCAAACACACATTAAAGGATCAATAGGTCAGACACCCAGTTCGGAAAGGGCATCCAAGCCCTCTGGTATCCTTCAAACATATCTACTTCACGCTGGGATGGGTCGGGCTTCCGCAGTCGCGGGGTCACACACCGGGCTTGCCGCAAGATTGCCCGGCGCAAAGCACGGCGAGATATCATGGTGCAGTGCGGGGGCGCAAAGTGCGGGGTGCAGGCCCTTGCGCTTTGCTGCTGCTCAGCGTATGCCTTCACTCAGGCGAGGCTGTCCTTGAAGACTGCGCAGAAGGCGATGTCTGCTCATGGAACTAGGTCTTACAGGGGCAAGGGGGGGCATGCGCCCTTGGGAAGCCCGCTCAGCTGCCCCCATCCGCCATCACCTATGGGGTCCTACTCCTACTCGCAGTCCGCACCGCCGTAGTTGCCCGCTACATCAGCATGGGTCCTACAAGCACAAATAGACTCCCCCGTCGCACCCAAATTCAGGTCACACGTTTTTTTCTAGATCCAAGCTAGGGCTCCGTCGTGACGAGTCGCCGCGCGCGCCGTGACCACTAGAAGTCCACCCCGCAACCCCTCCAATTCGGTGCCCTGTGTAGGCTCTGAATTGCGCTGCAGGCCGAGGCGTTTCACAGCGGTAGCAGTGTCTGTGTTGGGCCTCGACCCCTCGGCGTCTGGTGCGCAGTCGGCAATGACATCCGTCCGCACTGGTGCGTGATGCACCTGAAGGGCATTTTGGTGGGGCTGGCGTGTCGCGCGCATTGCTCGCATTGTATCGTAGAGCTGATGATGTACTGGAGTTGAATAACCTCCTCCTTGCATCCGTTCCAGCGCTCGTCCCGCTTCCGGGTTTGCACGTGCTCATGCAACGGCAACCAGTGCGCGGCCTTGCAGGACCATTGTCGCAAGGGGTCTGTGATCCTGGCAGGGCGTTATACTGCTGACAGCTTTAGCGAGAATGGCAGGACCAATTTCAAAGCAGCCCGCCCAAACACAGCGCTTCACAGATCGCTCATAACCCAGAGCGCGGCAGATTGATCTATTTGATCGTATTGTACTGTATGACTAGGGTTGGCACCGCGCGGGAGTCCTAATCGGGGCGCAGACCCACCCACGGAGACGGCAACACGGCCGCGAGCACCAGCACGCCCTCATGGCGACATCCAAGCCACTTGAAGTACAGGACAGGTGCTGGATTGAGTGAATGCGCTGGAAGTCGGCTGCACCTTGCGCAAGCCGAAGCGCAGGCCCGCACGGAGTGTCCCGTTGCGTTTGTGTTGCGTCACGCACGCAGCATTCGGCAGGGGTTGCGGATGCGAGAAGCTCTGTGATTTGTTGTCGGCCCAGAGTTCCTGCACTCTGGTGATGGTTGGCGGCGCGCCGGCACGTGGACTGCGTCCTCTTAGCTGCGGACTTTCCGCCGCCGCGCTGACATGTTGGTTGCCCGCCGGCCCCTGCGCATCCCCCCATGAAGGTTTGGCCTTGTGTACGGCATTTTGGTAATGCTAGGCGTTGGTACCTTGTTACCCTGGAACGTGATGATCACCGAGAAGGAATTCTTTGATGTGCGGCTGCACGTGGAGCCCTACAACCCCGCCATCGCGGGCAACTTCCTCAGCCTCTTCGGGCTGACGTTCAACACCGCGTGAGCCAAGGCGGCGGTGACTGCCCAAAGCAGACGTGGCATGCGTGGGTCCGGGGCTCTTTGCGCCGCGTATGTACAATTGTCAGACCATCTGTCGCTTGGTGCGCCCTGCGCGGACTCCTTCACTCAAGCGCACACGTACAAACGCTGCACGCCGCACGCCGCACGCCGCACGCCGCACGCCGCACGCCACCCCCCACTCCCGTGCCCCTGCGCCCCCACCTTGCTGCGCAGGAATCTGCTGGCGTTCTGTGCTGTGGCATTCCTGCAGTCGGGGCGGCTGTCACTGCGCACGCAGATCCTCAACCCGCTGCTGATCATCCTGCTGTTGCTGGGTGCCACGGCGGCGCTGGCACTGCGGCTGGATCTGCCTGGCACCATCGTGGCCTACTACTCCCTTTCCACGCTCGCGCTGCTGGTGAGCCCCTCAGGGTTGGTGGGGGAAGGGGGGCGCCTCCTTGAGGCAAGTGGGGCAAACCGTCGGCAGGGCGGGAGGGGTCATGCCGCAGCAGCCAGCACTGCGTCGGCTGCGGCGAGGTGCAGCATATTTTCAGCGACATTGTTCAAATAGACTTGAAGGACACCGCCTTTGCAGCACGGCGGTTTGGCTGCTGCATATAGCCTGTGGGACTGCTGCCAGCCATCGAAGGAATCAGGGTGCAGGCCGGGCGGCTTTTCCCCACGCAAGCGTGCCGCCCGTCCCCCTGCCCTCATCCCTGCCTTGTATCCGTCCCAACCTCCCGCAGGGCATCTGCATGGCGGTGCTCCAGGGGGGCGTCCTCAACCTGGCGTGCCTCTTCCCGCCCATCTACATCCAGGGCTTTGTTGTGGGGGCGGGGCTGTCAGGCGTGGGCACCTCTGCTTTGTCGTTCATCACGCAGCTGCGCGCCAGGGAAGGACCTGCTGAAGAGGGCGGCGGCGCGCTGCTGCGCGCAGTGCTGCGAGACAGCTTTGGGGAGCGTACGCCCGCCGAGGTGGCGCCCGCCGCGTTTGCCTACTTTGCGGCTGCGGCCAGCGTGACGGCGCTGTGTGCTGTTGCATTCACCCTGCTGGGCCGGCTCGAGTACTCGCGTGCTCGCCTGGTGGCTCATTACGCTGCGGGTGAGGGGGTGGAGCTTTGCAAGGTTTTGGCAAGTCAGGCTATGGCGTCTTTCAGGCGCGGCCACCAGGGGTGCAACGCCACCAGTGCATGCAGTTCACTGGGTCGTTGAAAAGCAGTGCCAGCAATCGATGAATCACAACACAGCTCCAGCTCCCCTCACACCCTTCCCCCCTCCCCACCCCTCTGTTGTCATCCCACCTTTCCTCCGCGCGTTCCCCTCTCAAACCTGCAGTGCGCCGCGCCCACCACGAGCCCGACCAGCCCCAGACAGAAAGCCTCCTGGGGGCGCCCTACGACGAGGCTGTGGCGGAGGAAGGGGAGCCCCTGCCTGGAGTGGAGCGCTACTACTGGCCCGCAGCGCTGATACCCTACCTGCACCCCGCAACGGTGGCTGCGGAGCAGTCTGTTTACTGGGAGGCCTCACCTATGGACGACACACTCATGGGCGGCGAAACGCATGAGGATGCAGCGCCGGAGGCGTTAACGGCGGCCGCCACCGCCTGGGATGACAAGGCGGGTTGGGACGAGGAGGAGGG